AAAAAAAATTCAAAACCCATCACCCCTTCTAATTGTATTATGATATAGGTACGCCGCTGACTGTGTATAGGCACTTCAGCGGGCGGCATTGCTGCAGATTGTAATATATGAATAGGTAATATATCATAATAATATTCATCTTGCCGCAGCAAACGAAAGAAAAAGTCGGAAAAAGTTAAAACCGTTTCGAAATCTAAAACGTGTAGACACTCAAACGACGTCGATACCGGTTTGTCCGGCGTGCGTTTATAAGTCGTCGTAAAAAAAAAGGAAATCATGCAACGATGATGGAATAAACGATAATACATAATGAACGCTTTTAATCTCTCGGCGAACAGATAAAAGTATAAAGAGACGGAAAAAAAAATTGTAATAAACACACACAATAAAACGGATGGAGTAAGAGGCTATTGTTTTGCAGTTTTGCTACTTTTTCGTATGGTGTGGCTACATTCATTAATATAATATAACGTACAGAATAACAACAATAATAAAATAATACTTAATACTATAATATGCTCTTAATACAACAATTTAATATATTGTTATAAATACTTATAATGATTAAATATATTACAATATTGTATATGTAATATGTGTGCCTAAAATTAGTATATATAATATAGGGGTGCAAAGCCTAGTTCTCCAGATTTATTCATTTTGTATAGGTTATTTGTCATTATAGGAGTAAACGTAATTTTGGTACCCTATGTTAAGATACCTTTTTCAAATAAAAAAAGAATGGATATAAGTTTTTTATACCCACAAATTAAGGTACACGATAAACATTATACATTTGTCTCTACTCGCTGTTGWAAAATAAAAATAATAACATGATTTTTAAAAGTTCAAGGATTGAATATTTTACTATAAAATGTAGACTAATAATTTTATTAATATTAAGAAATATTAATAAGTACATAAATTAAGTACTATAATTATAATTTTGTATTTTTTTAAAATTTTAGTTAAAAATAAATTTTCTGGATTTAATTTTGTAAAATTGTTGACTACATCTTAATAGTTTATTAAATRACACATTTTGTCATGCAATTTTTTAGATTTTGAGTACCACAGTGCGAYAATACGACGACGATCAATCGTTCAGGTTTAAGATAGCACGAATACCTAATAGTTTATAATTTAATTTTAATAAATGAATATAGATGAGGTCCTACACAGCTTTGATGATTATTTTAAATAAAATTAAATATTTTAATTTTCAAKTGTCTGTCATTGAGGCGCCCCGCATCCTGGCGCTCAGGGGCATCAACCACCGCTCTCTCTCTCCGTGGATCCAGAACTGGCTATTCGTCCGTTCAAAGACCATGGGTTCGTAACCCAATTTAATGGGCCACAGAAAATCAACATCCCCTCGTAAAAACTATAATTAGTTTTTACACGGCATCCGCTGCAATGTTGAGAACCCCTTGTTTAAAAATRAAGGTCGAGTTTATTGCAGCCGTTCGTATAGCCTGTCTGGTTCGGTAGGTGTAATATTATAATAATGTGTATACTATATTATTACTATAGTATGCACGGAAATGAAATGTGGATCTACGCTACCGGAGATGATCCATTTTTTGTGTTTTGTTTTCTCTGATGTTTAACTTGCTACGCTGTTGTTACTGCTGCGAAACGGGTTCGGAAGTGATGGGGTTTGCGCTTTACGAGGGTCATAAAACCGAAATAGTTTCGTTAAGCTCCAGTCTGGGCGCAAAGAGAGAGACACAAGATGCGTTATTATACGTTGAAAAATATAACACCGGAMGTGCAACAAATGTTTAGTTTACGAGTAGAACGAAAAAAGTTCTCTACTTAATGATTATTATTGACTGCAGCGAGCGCGGAAAATGTAATAATAAAGGAAACCGAAACGACGGTCGGTTAGCGAGTGGAAACGAAACGGTATAGCGTAATGCACTGGTAATACCGCGGCAACGAGAGAGGAGTACCTACACGATTTATTTGTTTTGTTTTTTATCATTGAAAACATAAAAACGTATGGCTTGTATTCGCGGCAGGTACCTACGTTATTTCTGATGTACAAATATTTACTGCGCGTGTTGAGCCCGCTGCAGAGTGGTTATTAATTTTCTTACCCACTATAGTCCTTTTTTCGTATTCAAATGTTATCCTAGTGTTTTTGTTTGAATTAAAATTTATATAGTTWTTRAGTTAATCTACCAGTTATTTAGTACTTAAAGACCTATTTTAAAATACATAGATTTTTTACGGAATGATAATATTCTACGTATAGGACGTGAGCAGACGACTTATTGAACATTTTTTATGCGTTTAAATCAAAATTCGAACAAGCATCATAGTTTCTGAGTTATTCTAAGCTATATATGTATCACGGATAATTATCTATTGAATATTTGAATGGAACATAAATAGGTATGGGTTTAAGATTTACACAGCTATAAGGTTATATACATTAAGACGTAAAATAGACGTTAATCACCATTCACCAATCAGTGATGTTAAGTTAGTCTATAGTTTTTTTTTGTAATTATTTATAATATACATATTATCTCCATAATATAGTTAGGTTTAAGCCCATACTCACTTATTAGTTCATTGTACACAAATTTTCAATAGACAATTATCCTTGATACATAAAGTAGAATAACTCATAAACTATATTTGTTCAAATTTTAATTTCAGGAGGTAGGTATCTAAAAATGTATATTCAAGAAATAATCCACTTTACAATTAATATAACTTATTACTTAAAAAAAAAAAAGTTAGTCAAGAAAGTCACGAAATCCAATAAAATATTTCAGTATTTAAAATCATGAAGTCTTTATAATATAATATTTTAATATTAACTACATTTCAAATTCTATGAAACGCAATAGATGAAACGAAGAATGAACACGACTGTAAAAAAAAAAA